TCTCAATCTGCTCTGATAATTTGAGAACAATCTGTGACAGTTCATTGAGCAACTTCGTTCGTCTCTATCGTGCACTGCCTCCTAGAGGTAACCCATACTCAGTTTCTGATTCCCCATAGTCGGCTAGCCACTCCATATCATTATCAGCCAATCAACTTTTGCTCTACTAGTTTGTCTGTCGCTAGTATCTAGTCCACGGAAATAGAAAGATACAAACATAAGGTCAAGATAAGCTAGTGAGGAAGTGTACTGAAAAATTTAGCATTACGTTGATTCCTATTGGTCGAAAATATCATTTCCGCATGAATGGATGAAACTGATATGGAGTGGGTAGTCGACTATCGGGCATCAGAAAATGAGTATGAGCGACCTCTACGATCAGTTTTATTGGTTGAAATGTTTATCTCAGCTTCGCTGAATGAAAATGATTTGGAGTGGCTAGCCGACTATGGGGAATCAGAAAATGAGTATGAGCGTCCTCTACGGTGATTCCTATTAGTCGAAAACATTATTCTCTCCACCGGTGGGGAGAGTCTTACAACCTTTAAATGCGTGTCAGTCAGTCGGTCAGTGTGTCCAAACACTTACGATCGGCCAGTATGATCAATTACATAAGCAGACTGATAGATGGCGCTGCGGGACGGTCGTACATACATATAGTCCTGTGGCAGTGTGACCATGGGCGTCTACGCTATAGTAGGTTTGAGGCAGGATGGCGCAAATGAAAAATGAGGTGGTGCATTTTGAAAATTAATTATCTGCTTTTTTAAGTATTGAATTTCAAAAAACCACATAGGCTATTTGTTCAGCATCTTGAATAACCTAGAAATCGATGGTTTTTAATGAAAAATATCAAGAATCGAAAAATGGCCTATCAAATTTGTCCGGACAAATTGAAACTTAAAGTTTGACCACAAAAGTTTGACGTATTAGTGAGGAAGTGTACTGAGAAATTTAGCATTACGTTAACCTACAGCGTATTAGATTGAATTAGCCAATCAAAAATGATTATATATTTTTTGTTTTTGCGTTCATGCTTTTCTGATACACGAATCAGGACAGACGACATCCAAGATGGACGTATATATTCTTTTCCCTCGAAAATGGTGAGAGACCAAAGAATACTGGTATGGTTATTTTTCCTCAGTAGGTCAAATCCTCACTAGGTTATCTTCACCCAAACATACATACAGGCATTTTAACTCAATAAGACCCTTTCCTCTTTACAGTAAAGATCTACCGAAAAGTCAGTTTTACGAAAATCAGGGTTTTCAGGCTGCTTTCACCTAATATTAAAAAATTCGCTATTCACTCAAAGACATCAGTTAAAGTTTAGAATGTAGAGTATTGAAACTATTCTATATCGTGTTTACAGGAGATCTCGAAATAAGTTTTAAAAAGCTCTAAGGTTTTCCAAAAGGGTTTCTGGAAAACCTATTAACAAAAATATGCTTTTCGATTTTTAAGATGCTATAATCATGTTTAGCGGACAAGATTAATCATATCCTGAAAGTTTGAAGCCGTTCTGATGTATTTTGAGTGAATAGTGAATATTTTAATATTAGGTGAAAACAGCCTGAAAACCCTGATTTTCGTAAAACTCAGTTTTCGACAGATTTTTAAAACTTTTTCTAAAATCAAATATTCCCACGAGACTCAGTATTGTCGATTATTCGTAGTCCATCCGCCTTTAAGGCAACCAACAACCACCGTATACCAGTCCTGGAACTCGTCGGGAATCCAATGAAAGTTTTGGACTTTTTTACATTTTAGAGTAGAAAAAATCATGGAAATCTGATGATGAATTATTTGTTTAATTTAGTCAAAACCCGAATAAGTATATGAGTGGTACATTCTGCTTGAATGTTCAATACATCCATTTTCGTAGAATATGAAATTACTCTTTTTCTAAAAGAATATCGTTATCGTAGACAGAATTTTTTTGATAAAGCTGATAAGACTCTTATCGGAATCTTATCAGTTTCTTATTTAAGATTGTTTAAGATTTCCCATCGACAGTTGTAAGTGTCTTACAGGAATCTTATAAGATTTTCATAAGAAGTTCGTGAGAAATTCACAAGAAGTACCAAAAATTCTTATGTTATTCTTATTTACCAGAAGACAACTTATGAGTTGGTTTGGTGATTTCTGTTATGATTAAGTTGCTTTTATCGGCTGGAAAACTTCATAAGAATTTTTGGTACTTATGAACCTCTTATGAAAATCTTATAAGATTCTTATAAGACACTTACAACTGCCGATGGAAAATCTTAAACAATTTTACGTAAGAAACCGATAAAATTCCGATAGGAATCTTGTAAGACACTGGTAAAACACTTAGACTTTTCTGGTAAGATTCTCATATAAGAATCGATGACTAAGATAGATATCTACATGAGTGTATGCATACAATAGGACCAAATGAAGCAAAATTACGAAATATAAAACGAATTGAAGTTTTATTAGGCCTCTAGCAACAACTGTGAAATGAAAAAGAATGCGAATCAATCTTTCTCATTTTGACCGTTCATATAGGAACTCACAATGTTCTTTTGCTCGTTATGCATTTTTCGCCCCTTTATATAAAGAAAATGGCTACATACGCTGTGACTGAGATTTTTATTCTTCTGCTTTCAAGAGTTTTTCAGGCTTCAGCTTTCAAGAAAATTCTTGGAAGCAGAAAAAAAGAACAAGTAACTTGCTCGAAATAAGATAAGTATCAATCACAGTAGTTATATAGCCATTTTCTTTATATAAAAGGGACGAAAAATGCATAACAAGTAAAAGAACATCGTGTGTACAATTACAAATACATAGATGAATTATTTTTGAGGGCTTTCCTCACTCGATAATAAAAAGCGATAAGGACTCAGGATATCTATCGACGTCGAACCGATACATGTGGTTAACTTTTATTAGAAAGAGAATAAATACTTAACATCTTGGGATGGGTACAGATGGTTTAGATGAAACTCTTTTTCTTTTGCATCAGAAGCCTTTCCTTTTGTAAAACCAGAAAATATGTGTAGGTATAGAAGAGAAATTGTGACATATCTTATGTAATACGACTCTACTAGATTGTTTTTTATTAAAACATTGGAAAGAGGTCGGAACGGCTTGTTTTCAGGGGAAAAGTTTGCAAAGCATAAATATCGCGGATAGAACTGAGTGTGACAATATATTTAAATTCGCAAACGAAATAAAGGCATATTTCACCATGATTGTGTAATTTCAAAATACTGATCGACGTGGCATTTAATGTGACAGAAAGAGTAACACGTTGCAATTTACCTTTAGTGAAATAGTATAAATACAAGCTATAGTACAGATAATATTTGTAACTAACTCTAAAAATATATCTAATAATCATGGGTTTATACTGGACAAAAGCGTTATCCACATTCAAAAAAGAAGAAATTCGTGTTCTCATGTGCGGCTTAGATGCGGCAGGTCTGTAAAATTAAACTACTAACATTTTTAAAATCTATTATTTGCTAAAATAATAGGCAAAACAACCGTTCTGTATGTTTCAAAATTGGGTGAAGTTGTCACTACAATACCAACAATTGGTTTCAATGTTGAAACAATAACAATTAAAAACATAGATATAACTGCATGGGATGTAGGTGGTCGAGATAAAATTCGACCACTATGGAGACATTATTATCAAAATACAAAAGCTCTCATTTTTGTGATTGACTCAAATGATCGAGAACGTTTATCCGAAGCACAAGAAGAATTACATCGAATGTGTTCAGAACTAAAAGATATTCCTGTTTTAATTTTGGCTAATAAACAAGATTTACCAAATGCAATGTCAAAAAATGAACTTATTGAAAAATTGAAACTTAATACGATGACTGAAACAGGTATAAAATGGCATATTCAAGAAACATGTGCATCACAAAATATTGGTATCGAAGAGGGTTTTAATTGGTTGGTAGATGCTTTTCCGCCTGCCGATTTGATCAAACCGATAGATGAAACTATCAATGATGCTTGGCTGATAAAAACAGATTTAATCAACTCATTTAAGGCATCTATAAAACTATTTCAAACGTTATTTCAAAAATCTGTTATTTGAGAAAGATTAAAGAAACTTGTTACTCACGTTCATGTCATTTGTAAAAAGATTAATATAGATTTTACATTATAAAGATATTTTAGAAATCATGATTCCTCTCTGTCCTCACAATCAACACACAGTCTAAAAATATGGAACTATAAGTGTTGATATGATTTTTAACGTTGCAGTCTCAAAATATGATAAAAATTTATTCTTGAAAACCTTATGAAGTCTGTGAAAATTCTATTGTTATTTCATCAATTCTCTTCAAAACATGGTATCATCCGAAAGGTGGATATGCTTTCTCCGCTTCATCATTCGTATGGCCTTCACGATTGCAACTTCGGAAGCGCTTAGCATTCATTGATTTTTGACTGGTTCTCACCTAATACATTCTTATTAGCTAAAAGCGCTTTTGTTGTTCAGTTTTTTATTCCCTTGACTGAAAGTCTTGGATCATACAAACGAAATGTCCGTCCGTCCGTCCATGTACAATAGTAGAGTAGTGACACCTGACGCCACTTAAACGTAAATTAGCGACATATTGTCATTCGAGGAGGAAAAACACGTAATTACTACTTTTCTCAACAGCAGGACATCCTAGATCTGCGATCCCTGAATAAAAAGTGTCAGAGATTTAATTTCACATATTTTATCTGCTGGCATCAGTTTGCTTAATTAGCGAGAAAAACGCTAATTTTTGATAATT